TAAAGTACAATTGAACCTATGACTATTTTTACCATGTTTATGTTTAACAACCATTCTTTAACTCAAAATCTCAACGGCCTCAATCAGATAATCTCTCCTCTCTATAATCTTCCTTTGAATTTGGCGTAACCTTTACTTTCTGCTGAAGACGAGAAGACCTTGGCAGCTTTCCCCTGTCTCTCTTTTCCTTCCATAATGCCATTTGTTGATAATCCAACCTCATATTCTTTTACTGGTGACCCACTGATAAAAATATGAAGCAGACTTTCAAAGATTTGTTTCCTTTTTCCTTAAGCGTGTTTTTAGATGTTTTAGGCCACTGCTCTCTCAGCTGAGAGTGAGAAAAAATACTCGGCAATGACGGACTCGATTTAATTTCAATATGGACGTTTTAGCATATATATAAGAAAGCATGTGTTTCACGACCCGTCGACATCGTACGTGAGAGAGGAAAACACATTTAAAACTCTGGATATGCGTCTTCACTTCGACGAAGACGTTTAAAACAATCACTGCATTCTCAGTTCCGAAATTCGTCGTCGGTCTATCTTGCCATTGGTGTCGCTTTCTCTATTTCGCTAGAGTAGTATGTTGTCAAAAACATGTATGCGAATGTCAAAATACCCTGGGGTAGACTAATGCCTTCCCCCTGGGATCACAAATGTGAGCAACTGCTCCACTTCATTTCCAAGTGGATGACTGATGTGATTTGCATGAAGATACTCAAGTAGTATATCAGTGACAAGGAGGTGCAGTGCAAATAAGGCCAAATCGTGAGACCCCAAATTTTTTTATTAGGTTAAGCCCTGAACCCAAAAAATTCCAGCAGCTCAGAAAAGAGTGAAATTATGTAACCCAAAAAATCCATGTTTTGCTCTGCATAACTGTATGCTGGATTTTCATATACATGTACATGTAGTTGATGAAATCTTTGGATGATGTCTGTGAATGAAACTGAACAACTGTTTGAAAATAAGAACCTTGTAGTACACTTTTTGTTAAGCATCAGAAACATCGTTACCAAAATCGTTGTTATAATAAACAGTTGCTACAAAAATTCTGACATCCAAAAGAATCCTCAGATTACTAGCTCCTAATATCTACCAACACTGATTAAGCCAGGATGACAACTGCATGTAAACCATGAATTGAACTTTTCTCACTTGAGGTGTGGCTAGCTAAAATATATAAAGTGTGCTTGCGCTACAGTTAAATATCATTTTCTTGATTTATTCAAGGCCCAATCGAAAGAATTTGTTCGCACTCTTTTTCATGAGGCATTCAGGTACAGGAATGAATCAGGTAAGCTTGCATAAGTTATGATCTGTTTTTATTTGACTGGTATACATATTATGTGCGAGTGGTAACTTATCCGTTGGTTTTCAAATTAAGTTGGATGCATGTCCCAGGGAAAATGGCCTTGTGGTTAGAGTGTTGCAAGAGAAAGATTTCCAGCTGATTCATGGCAATTTTGTTGCTCAGTGTTGGTTGCATTGCTGGGTAAGGTGCTTGGGTCTCACACTGCTAGTCCCCTGCTCAGAAATTTACACTTGTCTGCCAGCTAGTTTTAGAAGTTTTGATGTTTTTCATTTAAAGGCTGCAAAGTTTTGATTGTCTTAAATTTACCTGTAGTGATTTTAATGTGATGCTGAAAGGTTTAGAATTTTGCACTTTCTTTAACAGAAAATTTTTTTTGTCTTGCAGTGCCAACCTCTGTCCTTAAAAATGTTGCGGCATCCTTAGATGCTGGACTTGATGAAGCAAGGCAGGTAAGATGAAATGTCAAACAGTTTCTTTTGGAGGATGAAAATCAAATAATTTTTATTAAATGAACTTGTCACTTATGTGTAGACTACGAGTTGTTACTTGTTTTTCTTAGGATTTTTGAGTGGTAGAGAAGGCAAGCATGAGAGAAAATTGCTTCATAAATGCAAAGTTAGATTCTCATGCACTTGCCTGCCTGCCCACTTGACCCTTGAAGAAAAGGTGGGAATTCTCATCTATAATCTATTGATGCAGCAAATGTCTGCAGCAATTTGTCCCTTTTAATTTGCTGCACAGTCAGGATATAGATTGCTAGATTTATACGAGACAAAATGCTGTGTACATATATGAAACAATAAATTTAACAGAATATTGCCCAGTCTGGTACTGTAGTAAATTCTTGACTGCAGTGTTAGTTGTTTTTCAGTGACATTGATTTATTGAAACTTTGACTCTTTTTAGTTATTAGAGAGCCTTATATCTGTGGTATGTGCTGCACTCTTTGAATGTCTTACAGAGCCAAAAGCAGTCTTTGACTTGTTTCCAGGTGTGTACATTGTCATTATAAATTAAATGTGAAGTAACTCTCAGTATTATTAACCTGAGCCTAGGGGCAACTATGAAATTTTGAAGAAGACCCAAAAACACAGGCTCAGTTATTTTTAAAATCGCTATTAATAATATTTAATTAAAATTTCACTGTGCCAAGTTCATGCTTTCAAGTAAACAGGACAAAAAGCAATGCTGTTGATCACTAGTTAGAGTTAATGTAGCACACAAAATTAGGAATCATTGCATGTATTAGTTGATGAATGATGATGATTTCTACAAGAGAAAATGTTTTCGACTGGTGTTTGAGGTTAGAATCCTCCAAAATTTTTTTTGCATGCAGTCAATTTTCCAACATGGTCTTCAAGTTCACATTGGTTGCATGCAGTTATTTTTGAATTTAAATAATTCTGAAGAAATGTGAACAGTATTATTACTGGCATCACAGGGAGCACACAATCTTGCTGAGTAGGAAGAGAGTAAATAAAGGAGTGAAAAGAATGATTGCATAACTTACTATTGTCTCCTGTAGCCAATCAGAACTCAATTGCGTGTTCTTCGTTAGTTACGATGGGTGCGAACACTGCTTTTGCTTTTTAAAGGTAAAACAAATGCACTTTTAACTGCACTTTTCAACGCTATAGTTTTAAAAGGAATATTGCTATGGATCTTGATCAGGACTAATAAATATTCATGACTAAATTGAGACTGAAAAATTGGGACAAAATTGCGAAAAGCGATTTGAGAAAAAACTTTGCAAAAGATGCCAAAATTCTCAGACTGTTGTGAAAGTATTCAAAAACAAATTCATCCAAGTTTTAGAAAAATGTTTCGACTTTGTTTTGTGTTTGTTTGGTTTCGTGGAAGCAGCGAAATTTAGAGATTCAAGTGAATATTCGCATTGTGTTCAAAATGTTTGGGCAAAGAGTTGCCTCCCTTGTCAATGTTATATGTAAACCAAAAAAATTATTGCAGAGCACGAAATGGCCTAGGTACGAGTTTAGTGCTACAGTGTTACACAGGGCTTGTAGGTAGCGGTTTTTCCTGTAAGGTTGCCTAAGAACAGGGGACAAACGTAAACTATTCATTCTTTTCATTCCTTTATTTACTCTCTTCCTACTCAGCAAGATTGTGTGCTCCCTGCATGGGCATTATCACTTGTAGTCAGAGATTTTAGTGTACTAATGTTCTCTCTCATCCATCAGAAAACTTTCACAAGAATCTCAGAGAGCTAATTTCCAAAATCATTGCAGAGAATATGTAAGTTAATCATAAAATAATACTGCCTAAAATACATGTAATATCATACAACTACAAAATTGCCTAGTGTAACAATTTAAAGAGAATGAGCTGTAGTGAATCATTTTTACGGTCATTTTATAGGCCATTATGGAGGACAAATGCAACAAATGAACAAGGTATGGCAACTCTTTCACCTTTGGCTTCATTAATCATTTTTAGACTTATTAGTCAGTTGTCATCATGAAAGAGAACCAAAAAGCAAGGACAATAAGAATTGCTAACAGTTTGCTATCATGTATGTGGTAGTGAGTCAGGGTTAGTTGTTGGGGCTAGTAGAGTGTTCGCTGCATTTGTATGGTGCAACTTGAGTTCACAAACATCATATGGGTTTGAATTCAGTAAAGGCCTTTTTTTTTTAATTGTGAATTCAGATAGTTTTCTCTTTTGAGGCAGATGGAAAATGGCCGAGATAATACGTGGGACAAATTATCCTTCTCACACGAATTAGCCATGTGTAATTTGTCTTCCTGAGACAGATTAATCATCTCAGATGGATGAATCATCTCCTCATAAAAAGTTTGGTGTGGGATAATTCGTCTCTTGCATAAATTTGGTAAATGTCTCATTTTGAAGGGAGGGAGAATGTTTTAGACCATGAAAAGATCAACAGCTACCCAATAATGTACTAATAATTGTTCATTTACGTACCCTTTTTCCATGTTTTAAATGGGCAAGGTCATGTCAGTCTTGCTGTACTCCTTTTCTTCTGATCTTTTGTGTTGTTTCAAACCTTTCTCTATTTCTTTTCCAACAGTTTCGCTGCCAAAGTTGATTGATTTTGATTGGAGAGTAGATGTCAAAACATCATCGAATGCCATCAGTAGAATGTCCATGCCAACATGCATCATGCAGCTACAGGTAAGTGCATATAAGCCACCGGAATACCACACTTGATGCAAGTGCAGCTTCTGAACTTTGAAATGTCAGCAGCATTTTAGCTTTGCAGGGTTGACGATTCAGTAAGATTCAATCAAGTTGCTAAAGCACATTTTATAGACTTGACAGTCGAAATTGAATCATTTGTTTATCTGAGTATGCATTTGCTGCGTTTTATGATTGGCTGTTAGAACTCTTGTAGTATACTCCAGCCAACCAAACTTAGGGTTTTATCGGGAAGACTCGACTAGGACTGGGTAATAAGCCACTTTCGATATATTAAAATTCAACTCGATAGCGAGGCCTAAAGGGCACAAACAAAAGAAATGAATAAACATGTCATTCAATTTCCTTTGTTTGTATCCTCTAAGCCTCGCTGCTAAGCTGAATTTTAAGATATCGAAAGTGGTCTATTGGCGCCGACCATGCGTTTTCCCGCCCTTGACACCCTGTGCATTTTTTTCTTCAAGTTCTGATTGGTTCGTTGCGTTTGTTGCGATTGGTGGCTTTAATATCGCATGGTCTGTATCTATGTTTATTCGTGCACGAGCGAGTCGCGATTGTTTTTGGTTTTCTGATTGGATGAGAAAGTGGCGCGAGAATTTCAAACCAATCACAAAGCGTTTAACGCAAAACCAAAGCAAATGCGACTTACTTTCAACACTCAACGACACGCAAGTGAAAGCCCTCTAAGAAGACAGGAAAGAACAGCCTAAAGAAGCGCGATTAAAATGTAATTTTTTTATATGCAGTGACATGTATGGATTACAATCCTTGGTCCGTAGAATGCACCAAGAAATATCTTGGTCATAACACAGGCATCTAAGCTTCCCTAACATGGATATCTTATGGTCAAGACTTTTAATGCCAAGGATTAATAGAGAATCAATTTGCACGCCTTGTGCTACATTCTGGAAGGTTCTTGTTTCTAAGTGCACGGTCTTGTTTCATTCCAGGTTCAAGAGACCGCGACAGAACAGAACAGCATGCCAGCGGTTAAACGTCTAAACGTAGAGCTAACAAAAGAGAAGTTAGACACCATGTTAGATGGACTTGGCAAAATACGAGATCAGTTATCCTCAGTTTCAAAATGAAAATTTACAAGTGTATAGTAGCTGGAAGTTTAAAACGTTTTATAGTAAAGAAAGATATTTTTAAGACTTGGGTTTAAGTGTTGACTATAGACGTGACTGCCGGGTCAGCGGACATTTTACTTTTTATTGCGGACCACTAAGGCCTCGTTCACACTTGAAAACGCAGCTTGATTTGTGCCGCAAGGCCTACCGTCCGCACTAATCCGTCACGAAAACAGAGCTTTCCGAAAACGCTCTTCAAACCGGAGGGATTTGAAAACACCGGCTTCGCGTTTTAGTGTAGATAGAGAACATTTTGAAAACGGATCTTTTCAAAAAAGTAAAACAAACAAACAAACAAACAAAAAAACAAAAACAAAAACAAAACAATGACATGACGATACTCGTGATTTCCCTGACCGAGTGTTCCTCAAACACAAATCCAAAATAACCGGTGATCGTTGTGTTTTTAAATTCCCCCGTCGTAGTGTGGACGGGAAACACTTGATGTGTTTTCAGAGTTAAAATGCGGTTTTCAAATTCCTTCGGCGTAGTATGGACGAGGCCCAGGATGAGTTCTTCTTGGAGCGCCTTTGTGACATTACAATACAATAACACAATACAGGACTGTTTTAACGTGAATATACGCTTCGCTGTGGTGGTACACTACAATTGTTCAGCAGACAGATGTTAATAAACATGGTTCCTTAGTCAAGAATTATATTTTGCAAAATGGTAAATAAAACACCGCTTTCATATAGAGAACAATGTGCCGTGAGGTTAATTCGGGCAGCAAGAAACAGCGAAACAGTTTTCCTTCTTAGTAATTCGACCGGCTGGAATTGAAATCAGAGTGATCCTTCAAGACGCTGGATATATGTAAATATATTTCGTTTAACCTGTGTGAAGCTTAGAATAAGACTGGAGAATTTCAAATGTGTATTCGCCCGTGTGTGGTTTAACATAGCGATGACCAGCGCCTTTCTTTCACTTCAGTTGAGACCGACAAAATTATTCGTTGACTCTACCCCAGTAAAAGAAATTGTGTCATAGGTGGTCACGTGACCAGCCGCAACCAGGGTCTTTCTTCCAACGACCAAGGGAGGCAGAGAAGAGAGAGAATGGCAACGAGGTTGGAGAGACTGTCGCCGAATGATGACGCCACGAAAAAATTTGATATTTTTGTTTCAGTTGCAGTGCACTATGGGAAGACACTCATTCCTCCTTGATCCTCTGCCGCCTTACCTTCGTACACAAACACACCGACACCTCAATCTACTCACAAATGTCTCAGAAGGTCAAGTGCACTCCAGCGGATACAATCCAGAATGAACGACATAGCTAATGTGACTTCTGAACCGTGGATTAATCATCATCCTAACCAACCTATGCTATATAAAAATGATACGAGAGAGGATGAGGAGTAAGACAGTTGATTCCATATGGGCGGCTTATCCCCAAGGTAATCCCCTCACGAGTTATTTTAAGACATGTATCTAGTTCTTCCGCCGTGATGTGAACATGCGCCTTGTGTGCATTAGAATGCGTATTGAGGTGCTCGGGCTGTGCATCTGCACAAAGTAAAAAAGAGAAAACATTCGACATTCAAGTAACAATCGCTCTTAAAAATCTCCGCCTCTTTGTCATCCAATAGCCCTTTCACCGGTTAATGTTCCTCATTTGCATTGCAATGTAATCCAACGTGAATGCGAGGCAATTTCGGGCTAAAAAGAGCTACAAAATAGCCCGAAATTGCCTCACTTCTTGGCTAGATTTTATTGTCATGCAAATGAGCAAAGGTAACCGTGAAAAGGGCTATTAGAAGTAAAGCAAAAACCAATCCTGACTCGCTTCCTCAAGTTTTCCTGCGCTTCTCGTCAGTCTCCTGTATTTTCTTCGAGTTTTGATCGGTTCAGGATTATCTCTGCTTTTTTGTGTTAGGCCACAAAAATTAATGCTTTGGTTTTGGTTTAACGATGTTCAATTTGGCGCTCCGGTCCATAGAAAAACAAACCCATAAATTGCTGACAGCTATGTTCCATCAAGGACCTTAAGGCAGTGGTGGGATGGCTGTTAATGTCATTTTAGACCTAACTAATGGTGTTTCGTTTTCTTTTTTTCTCTTTGTCTCAGGGGGAGAGGGTGGGAGGACTTACAAATAATTTCCAAGATTGCGTGACACGGCGGCGCGTGCAGGCGCGCACTTTGCCTTATTAGGCACATGCTGGCCATTGTTACGTCGGTGAAGCAAAGATTGGTCTCAGAATCAGAGAACACTTACAACAAATCAGTTGCCGTAAAATTTGGCACTTGCCGTTGATATTCCGAATCAAATTGAAAAAGAAAGCAAAAAGGTTGGCTCGTTATGGCTTATTTCCAAGGAGGTATAATCGATTTTGCCTTTTTTTGTGCGCTACTTATGCTCTCGTATTTTCATGAATAGTATACGTTCTTGACTCGTGGTGTGTTGGTTCTCGTACTTTTTCCTCAGTGAATATTCCAGTTTGGGACACCAACCAAACTGTACCAAACCAGGTAAGCTAAGTTTATGGAGTGTTTAGGTCAGACCAGTGAAATCGCGCTATTGTTTCTTTTGGTTGTTTTTCTATTTTTCTTACGCATGAAACCGTCCCTAACATGTACACAGCGGAACTCGACACATATGGAATATAGCCAAAATATGTTTAGCGCTCAAATTGTAACGATTAGATATAACTATTTTGAAAATGTTCTCATATATGCCGCTGTTTGCATATCCTAAAAACATTTACTTTTATTAGTTACAGTAAAAACCAACGTGTACTGAAGTCTGGCAAAATAGGTTCTTCTACTTTGGGGTAAACTTGTCAATTTAAGCTTAGTAGTACGCGGTAGTCTCATATGGCATGGTTAGTTTGCTCGTCTCCAGATCGAGCGGTCCGGGTTAGAGCCCTATTTTGGGACGTTGTGTTGTTTTCTTGGGCAAGACACTTTACTCTAACGTACCGTGCGTCTCTTCTCCCATGTATATAAATGGGTACCAGCGAACTTAATGCTTTCGTCGGGTATCATAAACTTCCAAACTGGCTGTTTTGTTTGAAACCTTCGTAGACTGGATTTACAGAATGGAACCTCCTCGATTTTGAAATTATTTGCTCGATTACTCACTGAATCGAATTGTGCTCCACTTGGTCCAGTTACTATAACTTAACATTATGAAACCGAATTGAAAGCGAGTTAGAAAATCTATATCCGATGCTAGCCAAAATATGCTTTAATTCAACTCGGTGTTTCAACGGTCATCTTACATTACAGGTATTGGGGGAGATTGCAAGTACAGGTTCCCGACAAGAAGAAAGGCGGAATCTGCAAATGCAACAGGCGTAAGTAAAAATATCCATCTCAATTAAAATTTGTGTAATTCAAGAGAATATTCAGTACTTTTTCCCCATCACTGAGACTTTTCTTTAAAATGTTCATAAAATGATCGAAATGCTTCTGACGCGTAAGGGAGCGCAGCTTTTGAAAGTGTGAACAACAACACGAAAGAAAGTGAGAGATAAAGACAATGACGGAACATGCTTGTGGACAAATCCTAAAGAAATATTTAGATAGCTACCTCGAAGAAGGAGATACTTTCTTACTTTAACCGAAAGACTGAGCTTCAGGGCGAAGATTACTAACTACAGAATTAAAACTGGATTTTTTGGTCGCAGAACGTTTACGCACCAACAAGTTGAAGTCCGGTATTATCAATACCAGGTAGGTTTATTGTAGTACAGAGAAGCTGTATTTGACTTGTATAAAACATGGGAACAAATTGAGAAAATATTCCCAGTCTGTGACAGAACTCGCGCTATGAGTTTTAGCCAGTACAAGCTTCACACGCCGTTTCTAAGGAGTAACTTCATATGATCGGGTTTTATAAGAGACAAGGAGAAATATCCCAAAATACAAAATATGTTCGAAGGAATAATGCTCGACTAGTAAAGAATCTCTACGACGGTTAACTTCGTGTTTAACTTTGCCCACCAACGCAACGCAACGCAACAGTGTCTTTACAAACTAACAACTTCCACATGTATTGTTGGTTGTGTCCAACATTGTAGTTTCTTTTATGTGCAGTAAGTTATATTCCTCAGTGTTATTTTTTAAAGCAGTAACGCTTATTATTTATCACTGTCGTTGCTGTTGCTTTTTTGGTTATTTAGGGAGCGGTATACCAGACACTAGAGCAGAGAAAGTAAGTTTACTATGCTGTAAATCCATTATGAATAGGAGCAAGCAAAACAGTGTGTTTTTCAATTCTACAAGATTAGAAGAGCATAGTTTATTTTCCAGTAAGTCAGTTAAGATAACTTCTACAAAAACTCTACTCTCTCCTTTATTCCCTTTGAGTCACAAAGGACACATGCATGAACAATTTAAAATTGTTTACCTAAAAGCTTTTATTCAGAGCACCGACGTGAAACTGAGAAAAAATGGACACATCAGTCAATGTACTAACTGGAGAGAAATGGAAACCATACTGGCCATGACTTCAAGGGCCTTCAAATACTTACTGTTAATTAAAATTTAGGCTTCTCATCTGGTTAAAAATACACCTTGCACATCATTCTTCCTGTTACAACGTACCCAAATGCGACATTTTATTTCTCTTCTCAGTAATCTCGCAATGTTGGAGCACGAAACGGTTGCCAGACTTCAAAACGAAGTTGCGAGACTGAAAGCCGAGAAAGCGCAGCTCGAAGACAAATGTTTTTCTCAAGAGGTTGAAATAGAACTCAACCAAACAACCGTTAACCAGGTGGGTGAAACCGTGAACATCAATAGGTAGCTACAAATACAACAAACGTATTTCTTCACTGTACAAAAAGTCACTGATCATCAACTTCTCTACTTCTCTCTGTTCTCGTTGAAGACGGAGGTCCAAATGAGGTCGATGGAGGCCCAAATGAGGTCGTTGGAGATCCAAATGAGGTCGATGGCATTGTAAGTAAAAGTTCACAACAGCTATTTCCCTGTGTATTATGTTTTCCTATTTCGCAATTCTGTTAATCCCATTTCAGCTCCTATTTAGATAGTTGTTCAGATGAGGTTCACGGAGTCATAATGTAAAGTTTACTAACGGGACGCCAAGCGAAGCCCCTTAAGGCCCTTTCCAAACGCCGCTCCATTCATGCGCCGAGCCTAACTGATGAGTTAAGTACGGCAGAAGAGCGGCGTTTGAATCAGTTTGGTTCGGCAGGTTAGGTTTAGTGCGGCAAACAAAATTAAATGCAGGGTTTGTCGCACTATGCGACGTTGGAGCGGAAGTTGATTCATACGGCGTTCTTCTCATGCGTCGGACCTTATGCATGAATTACTGTAATGCGTTTTTCATATAACGGGACTCGTGATTGGCTCCAAATTGAGTGGCGTGACCAGTCATGCATGAAACTCGAAGTCGTCGCTAAAAATAAAGACAAAATATGCCTTCGATTTATGAGAAACGGGACTATATAAGCGAGTTTCTGTAGCGCAAATTCATTTTTTGCTTTTTCTTCGTGATAATAGCCCAGCTTATGAGATTTCCCATTAACAAGTCGAATTAACTGGGAGAAAACCTGTCTAACCACAAACACTGAACCTTGAGTTTGAATTTGCTTCTCTAAGTATTGCTATAACAGCGAAATGTTAGTCACGGCTTTTCTATTTGGACAGAGTTCTTGAATTCAGAACGCACATTTTCCCGTCGAAAATTGTTACCACGGGCTTCCCGAACAAGTTCGACGCAAGTGTACCGTCTGAACCAGCCGTCGCTCAAAGTCGAACTTATTCAAGTTTGGTTCGGTACATTAGTGGAGCAGCGTTTGGACCGGTCGTTACCCATAAACAAAAGAAAAGGAAACTCATGAATTGATTTTCTCATGGTTATCATGGCTAACGGTATTGCTCGTGGGCGCGTACGCAAGACGACGACGTCGGCGACGGAGTCGCGCAGGATGCCGGCCATACTCCAGCAAAAGGTTGATAGAGACATGCAGCCTTGGTTTATAGCGTGCCTCTTTGATATTGGATATCCATTGTATGGTCAATTTAAACCTGTCAAAATAAGGTTTCCTCTGACCAGTATCACGTGACCATATCATGGGCGCAAGTTTAGAGCTTATTGAGATCACGTTTTGTGAAGTTTACCGCTGACCAAGTGCTAGTTTTTTTATTGTTTTTTGATTGGATCGCATGTCAGGTTAACTTATTTTACTCAGGGTCGGACTGCTCGGAAGCCGGTTAACGGTCATCCTGGATTAAAATCCAAGCAAAGTATAAATTAGAATGTATAAGAATGTTTTTCACTGCTTTTGAGATCATTCAAACCCAAAACAGAAAACCTCACCGCAAAGTTACAAAACTCAGATCAAAATTTTGGCTTCTCCTGGGTTAGCCTTTTCGAGCTTTGAACAACCCGACCCAGGAGTTTCACTTTAAGGCTTGCCTAAATCTACAGATTACTTGGTGGCTTTAGACATGTAAAAAATGACATCTCAGATATGTTTTATGAATGCTGCTAGGAAAGCATTGAATAAATGTTACATGCTTGGAAAAAGTTAAATAATTAGGTGGGTTGGCAGGAATAAACTCGATGGCTAAAGATGGTTTATGCCTTACGAAACACGAGTCCCGTTGAAGCCTTGAATTCATGGCCATCTAGAAATAATGACTCACTACATAACTTTCCATAAATAGTCGAAGGCCCTAGATAAAATTCCCAATAGAGAATCCCTGGTACGAATACGGGGTGTGGTACACTAGCTACTTTTCAGGGGCACGGTGGTGGGGAGATAATCTCCTTCGCAGCCGTTATTAGGGTCGTCATGCAAAACTAACGGTTGCGTAGTGGGGAGACAAATACGATACAAACCTCAAGGAGTAAACCTGCATGCTGTGTTGGCCAGTTTATTTACTAGGCTCTTTAAGGGCCTAATCTCTGTAAGTTGTTAAAAGGAAACATACCGTACTAAGTGAACTCGTTAAATGTGTTTTTCGTTGTTTTAACAGAGACTTCGCAGCGCAGAAAGCGGCGTTGGTAGGCGAGGTAAATACACTTGCTTTTAACTTTTTTCTTTTTTCCTGCGGGGTGGCTCATTCTCACACCATTCCATTTGCAAGATGAAGTTGTGAAAGCGTTTCTTAAGGCCGGTGTTTGTGCCTGTTTAACAATAGTTTTTTTATCGATACATTCGCTAGATAAACGAGCACAAGCGTTCCCTGGATGAAAAGAAGCTCTCTCTCAAGAAAGCTACCACTAAGTAAGTAAAAGCTAAATTGAAATTTCTCTCTCGACTGGTCGAGGCAAATCTACGTACATTCATACTTTTTGGATAACTTGGCAACTTAAAATTACGGAAGATTTCTTTTAGTTTCAAAGAATCAAAGTGTATTTAGTCGCTCCCTTTGTGGAGGCGCGGTAGTCTCATTGTTAGTGCGCTCGACTCCGGAGCGATCGGTCCGGGTTCAAATCCTTGCCGGGGACATTGTGTAGAGTTCCCAGCCGGGCAAGACACTTTACTCTCACAGTGCCTCTCTCCACCCTGAGGAGTTTAAATGGTACCGGAAAATTTAATGCTGGGGGTAACCCTGGTATGGACTAGCATGCCATTCAGGGGGGAGTAGTAATACTCCTTGTCGCTTCATGCTACTGAAACCAGAATAAGTTCCGGTCTGATGAGCCACTTGGCTCGTATGCAGACTTTACCTACCTTTATAAAATGACTTGAATGTTTGCCTGGCTAATGAACCTGAGTGTTTCGTCCATGGTGGAATGCAAAATTTACATTTGTGGAAGTTCTTATCACGTACGAGGTAATGATTTTGTTTTCCAGGCTGGAAAAGGCCAAGAAGAACAACAAATGCATTTCTCAACGCCTAAAGGATTTTAAAAAAAGAACCAACCGAGGCCTAGAGGTTATGAAGGTAAAAGTTTTGGCCGGCATCAACTATTGATAAACGTGCGAATTACCCATGTCCGCCATCTTACAAATTTAGCTTATATTTCCGTTTAAAACATCAACTACCCAGACAGCTTGGAATCGAGGTTATATAGCTACCATGCAGCGAACACCATTAGCAGCCATGATATCTTAAAAAAATAGCCCTGAAAACAGTCAATGTTTGATTTGTCCTTACAGTCCCCTCTCATGTATTGCAAAGTGAAGTCTTGATATTTAATGATATAGTCACAAATACTTGAAGAAATACAGAGCATTCAAATTATAGACTGTAATTTCTTTCTCGTTGGTTTAGGCCAACCAAGAAAGTAAACTTGGCGAAATGGAAGAGTAAGTAAACTTTTGCTGTGGTTTGCAAAATAAATTTAACTAATTAAAATTCGCCATGACTTTATTGATGTAGGTACACAATTGCCTTGAATAATATTTTGCACAGTCGTGATCAGGTTTTCGCCTTGTAGGGTTCAGAGAAAAGAGTTTAAGTAATTTATTAATAGGGAGCATTTTTCATCAAATGGAAAGAGCGCTTTATCTAATTTAACCCAATGTTCAAACAAGTGAATTGCATTTGTTGATATGACTTAAACAACAAATTGTTCTCCAGTTTCGTCCTCCAATACTTACCAAATCTCCCCTGTAAGATAATTGTGTAAAAAGTCGACGAATTTAACATTTGTACTTTCTTTTCTACTTTTTAGGACCATCGAGACACTCAAGCAGGAGGTAAGAAGCTAAACTTTTGCTTTCCTTTTCTCCATGACCGCTTCAGGACTAAACGTAATGTTTTGTGGAAAATAAAAAACAAAAATAAAGAAAAGATGTAAGATATCAAAAACTTAAAATGCTGTTTCATCACGTACATTTGCAAGTTCTGAGAATAGAGTTTAAAAAATACGACGCGCAGTGGAGTATTTTAGACAAACTTGTCGGTCTCACGAAATTTGATGAAACACTGTCTTGAGTTATTACGTTTTTTTTAGTTCCAACAAAAATTTAAAATAAAATAATAAAACTTCACGCTTATCGTAATCGTAATCATGGTAACCTATTAAGTCCGTTGTTTAAGCTTGATTACAAATGAAATCTAAGAATGAAAAACGACAGAGCAAGGGAGGAACTGAGATGAAAGCTTCACAACCAGGGGCGGGGGAGAACACTCTGTGACGCCTGGCACTGCGGCGCAGTTTAAACCGGATGTGACGTCAATTTTTGGTGGATGATCCAGATACGCAAATTTCAGGAGTCGTCTGCCCCGCCCCTGGTCACAACAAATGAGATCGCGACAACGGGTAAGAGCTTGATAACAGCGTGACAAGGTACGAGAATAGGTGACAACTTATGGCAGTGACAAGCTAGCAGGGCGTAACAACATAAGAGTTCTTTAGCTCTACTCTGTATGGGACCCATCCAAAATAAATCTGCTCTCTATGTTATAAAACTAATAATTGGTCATTTTTTTCTGTTGCAATCTTTTGCAGAATGAGAAACTGGAGAATGAACTGGCCACTGGCTTCATTGGACGCTATAGAAGAACCAAGCGATTTTTCAGACGTCTCATTGACGCACTTCGCGGCCGAGCCGCACAATAACTTGGACGCACTTCGGGGGGGAGGGGGGAGGGAAAGGGATTATTTATTATTAACTTCCACGCACTTCAGGGGGGAGAAATATTTTGCTTTTGCTATATTTTTAAGTTTGATTCAATGATATTGGTCCTGTGCATGCTAAAGAAAGAATATGACTCAAAGTAATTTAATGAACTTTACGGGGGGGG